TGAATATTTGAATGAATGTGAATGTAAGCTGTTAAATAAGGAAAAGAAAAGGATCGAAAACGAAAACTTTATCCAGTGTTAAGAAAGTGTAAGTCGTAATGTATTTAGAATATACTGATACTTATTCCTTCCAGATGCTGGAAGGAAGAGAAAAGATTGATTGCTGAAGACCAGAAAGGACCCTGTAAGAAGATATGGTAATTTATTCATCTACAGAAATGATTGTAATTTTATAGGAAACAGTTTGTTTTATGTAAACGTGACTCTTGAGTTTTAGATCAGAATATGGAAACATTTTCAACAGGTCTTTTCTAGGACCTGCTTCCAAGTTTACCAAATTCTGGCAGCGGCAAATGTAAGGTTTATATTTATTTTAACTAACATTTATTTTAAGTTTAAGCTATCTTTCCTGTCAAGGCTTTACTTTCCCCTGGAATTGCCAATGCCAGAGTATGCAAATCGTAGTAGAACACGCAGAGTATTCAAATTTTAGCAGAAGTAAATTGAGTTAAATAGAAGGGAAAAGAGATGGTAAGTGTGCTTCTTGAATCGCGAGCGTGAAGGTTGATAGGTAGAAATTTAAGAACCGCGCGTTTCGCCCTGTGTGCCTATTTCGGCAGTTTGTTGAATCTTTCAACTTCTTAAACAGTAAGTTTGCTGAATCTCAGCTGTATCTTAGAACGCGGTTAAGTTAGTTACGATTATAGAGCCTCGTAGATAGTGACTTCGTTATTTATTCATCCTGTCATTTATTTTTAGTTGTACTTTTCTATTTGGTTTAACCGCCGTGTCGGCGTAGTTTGTGAGCGTCAAGTGAACGCAACTGTGATTTCTAAAGGGAAATAAAAAAGGATTTAAACCCTTCTTACGAGTTTGTATAATTTACAGTTAACAGCAGTCACTACTACTGTTGCTGACAAGTTGGGGCCAAGCAACATCATAATACTATAAAAGATTATTTCACATATAATTTGCAGCACTTTATAAGTGTGCAACAGACCTCCATAAAAGGGCGCCAAATTTCAATTTGAACAAGGGCGCTTAATACCCACGCGGCGGCCCTGGTTCAACTGTTCGAACTTTGCCATCCTGACCAGGAATTTTCTCTATAATTTTACCCAAAGCCCAATACAAGCGTTTTTTGAAATCACCACCTATTAAGGGGGGACTATTAAGACTATCTTCCCAATTTTAGGCAACTAAGTTACTTTATTTTGTGGTTTTTTCATTATTAATTGCCCCAAATATTGTTTTCGGAAACGGTTCCTTAAATCTTTAAGAAGTTTTGCGCGGTATTTAATTCTTCTCAGAAAATGCTGAGAGTCAATTTTATTTAAATCTGCTACATCCGAAGTACAATTTTTCAAAAAACATTGACGGAGTTAAAGGGATAGCATCTTCAGAGTTCTCCGAAATATATGTTAAAGGTCGAGAATTAATTACCGACTCACAATCGCAAATTAAGGTTTCCAGTTCTTCATAAGATAAAACCGATTTTCCCAAAGAACGTTTTCCCAAAAACGTCTTAAAGTTCTTTAACCATGCGAACTAGCCGTTCCCACCAACCTCCCCACCAGGAGGCTGTTGGTGGATTGAATTTCCATACTATTCTCTTTATTTTTGCCTCATTCTCTATTATGTCCCAGTTAAGTTTAGACATTTCGTTATACGTTCCTCGGAAGTTAGTCCCATTGTCAGAATAAATGGTTCGTGGTCTGCCACGTCTGGCTATGAATCGTCTTAAAAGCCAAAAGAAAAGATTCTGTTGATAACGAAGTCACCAGTTCTAGATGGATTGCCCTGTACACAGCGCATGTGAAGAGTGCCATCCAAACCTTCTTACCGTCTTTCAAAAACAATGGGCCAGCTAAATCTACTCCCAAAATTTCAAAAGCCCTATAATCTCCTACGCGATCTTCAGGAAGAGGAGTCACTTCGCAAGACATCGGTTTCGCTTTATATCGTTGACATATTACACACCCTTTTAACACATTACGCACAGTTTTACGTTGTTTTAGTATCCAGAATCTTTCTCTTAAAATAGATTGAAGCATTTGAGTTTCAGCATGACAATGTTTCTTATGAACTGAATTAACAATGTAGTAAAGATACATTTACTCGGTAACAAAATTGGTGTTAAAAATTCAGAATTGTCTTTGCGTTCCAATATTCTAGTTTTAACTCTTATAATTTTTTCATTATCAATGAATACATCAAGTGGATCAAGAGCTCCAATGTCAGGGAAATTTGAGCTTTGAACCAACCGAATCAAAACTTTTTCGGAATTTATGATTTCAGCAACACAGTTAGTTTAGGTTCTTTACATAAATTTGAATCCTTCCTACAGTTAGAAATAAAACGTAACACCCAACCGGTTACACGAATCATTTTCTCATAATCAGAAACTCTTTTTGCATACCAAGGAGTGGTAGCCTCTGAAAAGTTGACATTACTGAGTTTTACCTTCCTTTTTTCCAAGTCAGTTTCGTTCGGCTGACAGACAATATTGGTAGGCCGAAATTCCGGGCTTTCTCTTATCAAGAGAGGTCCCTTATACCATTCCGAGTTAAGCACTTGTTTAGCAGAGCAACTCCGAGATAACACAACTGCAGGGTTCATATTACCGGGCACATGCATCCATGATTCAGGTTTTGTCAACTTAGTAATTTCTTTAACACGATTGGTTACAAAATTTGACCAATTACCAGGATTTCTGATCCACCATAATGCGACTGTGTAATCACACCATAAAGTTGCATTTATATCAAAAACATTAAGAGCTTTAATTAAACCGAATTCTTATAGATTTTTGCTCTTAAGAGAGTAATTTTTACACTGCATGAATCAACACTTCTCGCGAAAATACATCCTGCATAAGCATATTTGCAGGCATCGACAAATACATGCAATTCAACTGTTGCAAAGGTTCCAATGAATCGGGGTATTGCCACTTTTTTCAACAAAAGTATATCAGATAACCACACAAAAAATTTACTTACAAAATCATGAGGCAATACCTCGTCCCAAGAAAATTTCAACTTCCATGTTTCTTGTAACAAAAGTTTTGGAAGCAAAGTTTTTAGTTTTTTAGTGTAAGTATTCCAATTGGATCAAAAATTGATTGTACAATAGACAGAATCAGTCTCTTAGTTACCTTAGTATCACAAGTTATCATATTTACATTTATATTACACCTTAAAGTATCATTGTCTAAATTCCACAATATTCCTAAAAGAGGTGTGTCCCCAGAATGTTTTGTAATATATTTGGAAGCAACATTGCTCTCCCATCCCCTTAAATTAAATCTGCCTCTCGACATAAGACTTTTGGCCTTTTGAATTAAATCCTCTTGTTCCTCAATATTGTAAACACCCGTAATACAATTATCTACATAGAATGAATTTTTCAATTTTTCAGCCACTTCTACAAAATCAGATGAACAATTATCAAAGAGATGCTTAATGGAAACATCTAGTAATTATGGGCTGCAGGAGACCCCCAAAACTACTCTGCAATGCCTATACACCATTTCTTCCTCATCACTTGGATAGAAAAATCGCAAATAATCTCTATCCTTCAGAAAACTTCCTAACTGCAAGAATGCTTTCTCTATGTCTGCACTCAGACCAATAGGAAAAAATATCATTCTATCTAAAATATAAAGAACTAATTCTGTTAAATTAGGTCCTTTCAATAAACGCTGATTCAAAGATGGTTTTCCCTTTTCACACGAAGAAGCCTCAAAAATGGGTCTAACCTTAGTGGTTTCACTATTCATTTTAATAACTGGTCTGTGTGGTAAAAAGTGGCATTTATTGTTTAGTTCCTTTTCCGGAACACTTTCTATAATATTCCTTCAAAGAATTATCTTATTTTGCCCTCTTAATCATTCTTTGATGACGTGTTAAAGCAATGCTTTTATTTTCTGATAAATTGGTAGATTCGCATTTCCATTAACTCTAATTCATATTTACCATCGAGGTGAATAGATAATTTATTCCGAAAATCAATCTCGTAGTCGCAATGAACATTTTTCCTTTTACTATTTTCCGTCGGATCGGAAATACCCAAAACTTCAAGCTCCCATAAAGATTTCAAAGAAGCATTATTTACATGTAGGGAAAGACGTATTAGGGCATTATCCCTAACAGTATCATTTTCTTTACCCATAACCGTCCAACCCAGTTTTGTTTTGACTGCAAATAAACCAGAGGGTAATTCTAGGTATTCGTCAGTTAACAATTTACCAATGACATCTGCGCCTATCAATAAATCAATTTCACTTTCTTCGCAAAATGTGTCACTGACCTCAATTTTCCTACTCTTCAATTCCTCTATAATCTGAGCATATCTTGATTGTTGGGAACAAATCCACATATATCTTTTTTTTTTTTTTTTTTTTTTTTTCCAGAAAAAGCTCAAAACAACACCTAAAAGTGTTATTTAAATTGCTTATTCAATAGCAAAAATAGAGTGGGTTACGGGCGCAGTTTCCCTCCCCCCCCAAACAAACCATGAATTACTTTCTCCTGTCGAATATTCGCTTCATAATTTTCCCTCCAACGGAGGATCGTTGGGATTCCGAATCCAAGAGAATCCTAATTTTCCTCTCTCGATCTTTAACTTTAATTAGTCTTCAAATAAACTTTCTCGCTCTTACTATTATTAGAAAGGGAAACATCCAACTTAAAGTCATTTTGTTTTACGGAACTAACATGAGGACACATAAATTTTATATGATCACAACTGCAAATGGGACATTTAATATTGGCTTTACATTGGTTTTTTAAATGACCAATTCTTAAACATGAAAAACAAACATCTTTCTTATGTACAATTTGCCTCTTTTCATTTAACCTCATAGTTTCAGCTTTAAAACACTTAGCACACATATGAGGCTTACCACAGAATATACAAACATTTTGCTTACCTTTATTGGTTTCATCTGTACTTACCAGCGCGGCAGCTGTTGCTAAATCTGAATTACCTGAAATAACATTTTAAATAGGGTGAGTAAATCCTGATTGAGCTAATCGAATCATTTCTTCCGATTCTACTTCATGCCTTAAAAAACGCATTAGTTTTTCAAGCGTTCTTTCAGAACTCTTTTCCTGTCTTTGTTCAGAAGTTCGACTCCGCTCCCAGGCACGTAGAATATTCTCAGGTAGGCACGACTCTACTAAAGGTCCTAAGAAGTCCGCAAACTTTTCCTTGGTGCGTCCTAAGCTTTCCAGCGCTCGTAATTTATTTTCTATACTATCGTAAAATACTTTTAAGTCCGACGCTGTTTTGTCTGTTGTAGCATTCTTCGTAATAAGCCCAAGCAAATCTCTTACATAGATCTGCACCAGAAGGTTTTCTCTACCAAATCTTTCTTTCAGCTGCTCGATAGCTTTGGGATAATTTGCGGCGGTAACAGGAAAACTGTTCAAAAGTTGAGCTGCCTTGGAGCCAGGTACTACACTCTGCACTAAGTACAAAAATGTATCTTCCGGGACAATATCCGCATCTTCATGAATTTTGGAGAATTGTCTCCAAAAGCCTAAAAATTCTCTTGCATCTCCAGAGAATTTTTTCAGCTCAAGTTTAGGAAGTTTAAACTTCCTGTTTTTATTTTCTTTAGCATCCGAAATCGAAAATGAAGCAGTATCTGTAGTAAAATTCATCGAATTCAACTGTCCAATTTTATTAAGAAGTTTTACATAAAGGAATCTCTGTATCCTTCAGCCGTTCTAAATTTATTCTCAAAATCAGCTTCCTTAGTTTGTTCTAAAACACTGCTTTGAGAACTGTTCAGGCTTTCATATTTGTCATTAGTTGTCCCAATAACACTTGCAATCTCTCAGGATCCAGAGATTGGCAATTCATCTTCCACAATTTTCGTTGTTATCGTAAACGAAGTACGTTCACTTTTACGTTTTGCTTTCAACAACTCTATTTTAACAAAACGCCTAAATCAAACCTACTCGATATCACACAAACGTCCTGTCAAACGGACGCCAGACTTGAATAACGTTGAAACCAAATAACGTTTGCATAATCCGAGTTCAGAAAACAAAACTTTTATTTTATATATTTTTAAAGAAATAACGTTTGCATAATCCGAGTTCAGAAAACAAAACTTTTATTTTACATATTTTTAAAGAAATAACGTTCTTAAACAACATGTTTCATCTACACAATCAACCGACGCTCTCGTCAAAATATCAAAAGAACAAATCGAAGAATTACAGAAGCGTTGCTGCCACACAAGAAAAAAATATAGTTACAAAGTTACCATAATAATAAAACAAAAACATACTTTTGAGAAATAAACAATAATAATAAAATTCTTATTTCAAAATAAACAATTTTGTCTTGATTATGTAACACAGATATCAGCATCGAATATTTTAGCAGTGCACTTACAAAACTTTGTTTCATCTTTTCAGGTTTACTATATCAGCCCTTGTATCTTGTATTACTATATCAGTCCCTATATTAAATAAAAACTGTTTAAAGTCCGAGTAAGATTAATGAGACATTGTTAAAAGTAATTTATAAGAATTTAAATTAAATTAAATATATATAACTGAAATGTATCTGAAATTATGGATTAATGCTTATATTGTTGATTTTTAATTTTTTTAATGCAAAAATATTTCAGTAATCTTTTCTTCGGTTTCAAAACTCTGTCTTCTGTATTCCGGTGGAAGAAGTTGGATATAGTTGTCAAAGAAACGCATTTTCAGAGACAATATAAACAAGACGTTTTCGAAGTGGAATATCTCGAAATGATTTCAGCTGTGTTTTTTTTTTTTTATTTCTGATGAGATTTTGTAGTGAACATCATATTTTCGTACTTTATCTTATTATTTCCTTCCTCAGTGGCAACACTTTTAGCTTCTGTTTCTGGAAAATTTAAAGCTCTTTTGGTTACGAACTGAACGGAGTTAATGTCTGTTTCTCTTTCATAAAAAGGTACTTTAAAATAATATCTTTTTTCAGCAAAATCAAATATTACCGCTTCTTCTGAGGAAAAGTTTAATATCTTAACCTATTCATCTCTCCATTTTTTTATCTGATTTTCAGGAACATTAATTTTTTTTTCTCAGATGTTAACTCGAAAGCATTAACATCTGCTATTGGAATTCTTTTTTTTCCCTTGATTATTTGTATTACCAATCTTAAAAAAGCACCCTTCATTTGTATTCTAAGGTCCGGATTAGTATACTTATCTTCATTATTAGTGTAATGTAAATCAATACATGTGATCCTTATCAAAAGTCTTGATGTGAGACGATGAGATCAATATTAGTATTAATATGTAAATTAATGGCATAGCTATGCTAGTATGTAATTCGATAAAGTCAGCAACATCAAGTGCTTTATTGCAAGCATCCAAACCGAGTTTATCCTGGTTCAAGACTTTTAAATTGCTATTCATGTATGCTTGATTACTTGTGCTAATAAGTTCAGAAAAATCATTCACCGTTTGTATTTCATGATCAATATTAAACAATTTATAATGTCAAAAGCTATTTCGCAGATAGTCGCAAACATTCTATTTCCCTACATAGGCTTACCATTGTCTTCCATGACGACATGAAATTTTTTTAAAAAATTAGTAAAATTAGTAAAAACTGGGTTAGAAGCATCATTTACAATTTTTATGGATTATTTTTATTAGTCATTACGTCTTTAAATTAGGTTTAATGCTATAATAATTCTTAAAATTTCTCAGTTTTTGCTTTTATTTAAAGTGCAGAATTCTCAAAATATTTTAGCCGCGATTTATTTTTTAAAAATCAGCATGGCCATGGCTCAGATAACAATATTGAACTTCAAATCAAATAAAAAATTCCATATTTGTGTATTATGTATTCCCACTGTATGGCATTAATGTTGTATTTAAACACTGTTTGAGCACGAAGTTCAAAAGGTGTCATTTTAACATCATTTCATTGCATATTTTAAAACCATGGTAACTGAAGATCATGTTTTCGGATTTACCGTTGACCCGAATGGAAAGGCTCAAAATGGGAACTCTTCTTACCTATTCCATTGAAAAAGGACGAAATGAATTTTTTTTTTTTTTTTTTAATTCTTATCTGGGACGTTAACCTTAAATCAGACAGACGTAGAAGAATACTAATTTTTTTTAGCAACGAAAAAAAAGGGGGGAATTGAATAGTTTATATTACAAGAAAATAAGCTTATATCAGCTTTTACATTTGATGAAGTAGTTTATTTCTCTGACTCTCTTTTTGTTTGTTTCCTTATTTTAATAGAACATAGGCTTTATCCTTAATTTTCATATTCATAACCATACATGATAAATTTAAGTAGTCTTTTAAAATAATTTCTGAACAATATTTCTTGATAGTAAGCATTTTATGCCATTAAGAAAAAAGTATAGTTGTTGCTAAATAATTATGAAAACCTCAAATAAAGTACTGAATACTTGTTTACAAATTTAGACTTTAAATAATGTTAATCGAATGCAAACGCTTTGTCACTAACTACGCGTCACGTCACCGTGTAAAAATCTTCCAAAAAAGTTCGTAGACTTTTACTCACATCAATAATATTTTATTAAGCAAGACAGAAATAATTTTAATGACAAGGAGTTTTTGAGTAACTTATTTTTGTATAAAAATTTTGAAATTTTGTCTATTTCATTTCCTTAATACAATCAGGTCAAATCGAGTGGAATTCTTAAAAATATCTCTTTGAAAGCGGAAGTAGCATGCCATTTCAACCCGTTCCAACTCGTTGGCTTGAGCGTTGGATGTAGACGCTAGTCTACATCCCAAAACGGCAGCCTATGAGAGAGGCGATTCTATTATTTTCATCGGGGAGTAGGGAAGTTGGAATGGTTTTCTGAGGAACGCAACGGGAGTGCACTATGTTTGCTTACATTAGGAAGTTCAGAAAATTGCAAAGGTGGATTGCCTTAGTTTCTGCGGTTACTTTCAGGGAAATATTTGGCAGTTTTTTTTTGGTTTGCTGATAGAGGGCAAATAGATAATTTACTTTTATAAATCCGCGTTTACCTATTTAAACTTCAGAAGATTTAAGATGAAGTGAATATATTCAACACAACAGAACGCAAACTTAAGACTTGTAAATCTTTTAAAAAACAATACATCGATAATTAAAAATATTATTTATATTTCATTGTTAAAAACTTTTTATAAATGCATAGTTATCATATAATTAACAATTCATCCATGCATTATCTCATTATTTATTATAATTAGAAGAGAAGATACTTTTTACAGTAATGTTTAAAAATTTGCTGTTGTCGTTTAAAAGATTTACAAGTCTTAAGATTGTGTTCTGTTGTATTAAATATATTCGCTTCATCTTAAATCTTCTGAAGTTTAAATAGATAAACGCGGATTATAAAGGTAAATTGTCTATTTGCAAACTTCTATCAGCAAACCGAAAAATCTGCCTAATATTTCCCTGTAAAGTAACCGTAGAAACTAAGGCAATCCACTTTAGCAATTTTTTGAACTTCCAAATGTAAGCAAACATATAGTCCACTGCCGTTGCATTCCTTAGAAAACCATTCTAACTCCCCTACTCCCCGATGAAAATAATAGAATCGCCTCTCTCATAGGCTGCCGTTTTGGGATGTAGACGCTAGTTGAAAGAGGAAGACCGAGTCGAAACATCTGTCGGAATAGAAGTTAGGTTACACGGACAGAATTTTGCTTTAATTTCTCGAAACTTTTTTTTTTTTTTTTTTTTTTTTTTTTTTTTTTTTAAAGTATTTTCTTGCACAGAGATAACCTTAATTTATGAATATGGACGTACATATCGTATTCAATACTTTTAAATGCAATCATAATGCATCCCTGAAAAGCAAGTATAATTATGAAAACATGCAATAAAATGCATATAAAAGAATTTTGTGTGCTTTTATAGATGGTAATGAAAAGTATACGTAACTATTTATAGTGAATGCATAGCATAAACCAGTTCACTATTGGCATTAAAGCTCAATATTTAATGCTAAAACAAACCTAATTAATTAGTCCCGAAGTACGTAATAACATTTGAAACACCATTTATAAATTAGAATAATATCGCAAACTTTCATAAAAATTATGAATTTATATCATTTAAATGTCTGTAGATTACTATCATATTTGCGAATATATGATTATTGTGGATTTCTTGAATTTTAAGGTTTTGAACTTTAGTCATATCTAACTAAGTTCATCTTGAAATCTTTCTGTACTTTATATAAAATGATACTTATGTAAACATAGAGTTTCTGTAGCTATATAAACATGGAATTGCTATACTTATGTAAGCATAGAACATTTTGTTTTTCAGGAATACTCAGTACCTATTAAAAACTTCTGAATATTGCAATTAAAATACTAAAATTGATAAAAAAAATCAAAGCAAGCTCAATAATACTAGTTCTAATAGCAGGCATTACGAAACAACAATATGACAGTGACATTACAAACAAAAGAATTAAATGAATTTTTGTTATGTTAACTTTAGATCAGTTTATTTAAATTTATGTATGGCTAGGTATTAAAAAACAAAATATGAATGCAGTTCGGAATTTTTTAAAGAAATGATAATTCACTTCTTATATGTATTCGAGTACGAAACGAGGTTAACTTTTTTTGCAACTTTTAATCATTTTCGAAGTAATTTTTGATCAACAAGCAATGAAAGAACTACCTTATTTATTTATTTATTTATTTGTTTAATATACCGCACATAAAAAGCATTCTATGAAGCATTCTATTCTATTCTGAAGCAAACTATAGATTAAATATGAAACGGAAAACAAGGAAATTCATTTACGACATTTAATATCTGACTAATGTCCTGCAACATAATTCCATTATTTTCCCCTCACTTTATTACATTAAATCTTAATTAATTTATCATGTGTTGAACTAATTCAGTAGCAAAAATGGCAACATGAAAACAACAAAAATTATAATTTCAGATGGAAAAAAATTCATTGAAGTAAATTTTAAAAACTTTAGCATAAATGATAATTCATAAGCAATGTAATGTCATAACTATTTCGTTTGAAAAGTTTTTGGTATTTGAAAAATATTATTGTACTCATTAATAAAGCTGTGATAAAGGTTACTTAATAAATAATGACAAATATTACATAAAACAGTTTCTGTTTTGAAGTAATAACATATAAATTTAAAAAAAAAAACATTCAGAGTAAATGCTATGCAGGATTAAAATATTTTACTTTTCCAATGACATTTTTTATGTTTAATATGTAGTACTACATTTAATTAAACTCGTTATAAAAGAATAGAATCCCCTTAAAACAATTTTGCCCTCAAATGTTTAACAGACGTCATAAAAATTTTAAATATTTTTTTACATTTATATGCTTTTATTATAGATGATAAATTTGAATCATTTTCAGAAAACTGCAGTTTAAGTTATAATAAATCAGTTACAGCAAGCAAAAATATTTATACGAAAATAATTTTCGAGATTTATCATATTGAATTCTATTATATTAAAAAAAGCTATTGTAATAAATATTGCATCAATTATAAATACAAATACGTCCAAGATTTAAAATTTTTCATTTAATAAAAAATAATAAAAAAATGTGTTATATTAATTTAAGGATTGATTACTAAACGCATAGTTATCAAAAAGTAACTTATTCTGAAATAAACAATAAAAATTTAATCTACTGTTACTCAGAAACATTGTCATTTCCCCAGACTGCGCAGTAAAACAAACAGCTGTCCTTGTGACCGTTCGTTGTTTCTATTTTATCCTTGAAGTTACCAGACAGGTTTGTGGCTATAAGCTTATGTAATGTATTCATAGTTTTCTTTCCAATTTTTGTTGAGTCATTGTTTAAAATTATTTTTCTAAGAATTGTGTAGAAAGGTGGAGGAAAGATTTTCATCTTATGCTCTCGAGACATCCTTGTCCATATTAATCTTCAGTTTCTTCTTCCTGTTGGAGATAACAAATTTTATTAATGCTAGTGTTTCCGCAAAAGTTCTTTCAAACAATAATATATTTTAAGCTGCGAAGAGAAGTTGTAAGTTATTTTCTTATTGAGTTTATAAAATGTCCTGCGTGGAATGTTTTCCTAGGTCTACTTTTCCTTAACCTTTTCAAACACATCTTTGCAACTTCATGGCCTGCTGGCATAAATATATCCCGTTTCAAATAATAATAGTAATCTAATAAAACAGATGAAAAAAATCTGAAAGCTTTCGGATTTTATATTACGCCCAAAGTGCGTTTTTTCCCCGCATTTACACATACATACACGTTTCGAGAGCATTTGGACTAACGCCCCTTTGGGCAAAAATATTTAAAAAATGGATTTCTTTAGAATTCTCGATAAACAGTCTTGCGCGCTGAAGATAAAACTATTTTATTCCGCAGATTGTTGCCACTCCTCTCTTTGAAATTACTGACTGTTTTAACTAAAAATTCGTTAAAATTTTACAAAATATGAAACAGATACTAAAACACGTGCACATGGTCGGGTGGAGGACTAAGTTATTCAAAATTCATTGGCTCTAGGTACAGTTTTTTTTTGTGTGCGAGAAACATACATACATTCATGCAGATTCTTCATTATTTAATTTCTTTAAATATAATACAAGGCGATAACAATTAGTGGTAACAATTTGAAAAGTGATTCAACTTTTTTAGGGATTCGACGCAAAAAAACAATGGCGTTTCGAGAATAATGGCCCTTCAGGGCTAAAACCCCTTTAGGCTATTAGTTTTTTTTTTTTTTCCTTTTCCTTTCTTTTCTTTTTTCTTTTTTCATTTGCATACATATACACGTTTCGAGAGCATTTGGGTTAATGTTCCTTGGGCTAAAATTATTTTAAAACAGCCTATCTTTAGAATTTCCGTTAGACAGACTCGAGCGCTAGAGATAAAAGTGTTTTTTTTTTTTTTTTTTCCTACAGTGTTGCCATTGCTCGCTTTTAAATCTCTGAGTTTGTTAATCAAAAATTTGTTAAAGTTTTACGAACTAAATAATAGATAATAAGACAAATTCGAAATTCAAAACTCGGGAGTCCAGATGTCCATGTTTGGCTGGAGGATTAAGTTACTCAAAATTTGATGGCTCTAGGTACCGTCGTTTTTTCACAATGCAAGAAACATACATACATTTATGCAGATTCTTCATTATTTAGTTTCTTCAAATATAATACAAGGCGATAATATTTGACGGCAACACTTTAAAAAGTGATTCGCCGTTTATAGTGAAAATGTTGTTTTGGGACTAATAGCCCTTTTGGGCTTAAAAAAAAAAAAAAAAAAAAAAAAAAACTTGAAACACTTGTGTCCTATTTATTATCCATGAGATTAAACAAGAGAAAATCAGATTTCATTAGATGCATTAGTAGATGCATGTGATGAGTCAGATGAATGTTTTCAGATTTCATTTACTACGCAAAACAGGAACACATGGTAAAACACAAAAATGTTAGAGTGACGTGTCAAATTAAATTGATAGTGAGAGTATAATAATATAATATTGCAATCAATAAACAAAATTAAGCATATTAAAGAAGTATAATTAAAGTTTCAGTTATCAAGTCACTATTGACGGATGTTTAGCATATCGAAGATGAACTTGTACTAAATGTAATACGCTTTTATATACATACAATTCATTAAAGCTTCACCATGAATAATGAATTTACCAAGCGCACAGATTTCAGCAATAGATTTCTCATACAGATATTTTTTGGATGCTCTCTAATGCAGAATCAGTTTTCTCAAAGTAACTCAAAGTGACTCAAATATGACAAAAATATAACTGAATTTGAATATCTTTATAATAAATAGCCCGCAAATTCTCAAAGCGTTTGTCATTCCCGAATAATAACATTACGATATCTGGTGTCAAAATTTCCTACAACATTGGTTGCTATTTCACTTGTGTTTATTTGAAAAACGTTTTCGCTGGCATTTTTGTGGTCTGAAAGCATTTAAGAACTCTTTGATGTACTTTATTACGGATCAATCGCTTTTGAAGAAAACGTAGAGATTTTTATCAAAAGTACATGCAGACCATCTCGTTGATGCAGAGATGATTCGGATAATCAAAATGCTATGACGTCCAACTTTTACCACTGATACAGGATGAAAGAGCATTTGTTTGATATGGGTTGTAACCGGTGCTCTAAAACGAGCTTATTAATTCAGATTTTCGAATTAAGTAACGCAATTAAGATTTTTTGAAACATTTCTGCTTCAAGATTCAATTCAGGATTTACTAAACTTGATTACTTCAGGAATACTAAATGACGTACTATAAAATTAAGTGTGAAAAGCTTATTTTTCATTTCATCGATTTATTTATTAATTATTGAGATTTTTTTTCTTTGTATATGACTTCAGATGCAGTAAAGCAATATTTCCCAAAGTGTTGACTGGAAATTCCTCCAAAGTTGTTGCTTTATCTCCAAGCTATGTATTTATTTGTAATTATTCATTAATTTTTAACCATTAGATAATGGTGAACAAATAACATCTATTTATTTATCAATATTTTATTATTATATTATTTTCCAGGGCTTTTTAATCTCCCTGTTTTCTTTCAGAGTTTAAAAACAAACTTTAAATAATATTTGAAATTCCTTAAGAGATTCAATAATTTTTTCGTTCTTGAAACTGCGATGTAGTAAATATATTAGAATGTAATAGTAAATTCATATTTTTTCTTTTATTCAAGGAATGTTATTCTAGAAATGCTATTCAAGGACTACAAAACACATAATCCTTAAATGAAATAGAATGAAAATTTAATTTTTCAAATAAATTTTTAAATGCATATGAAACATTTTGTAGGACTTAATGACTGCGGTTAGTTTTCTTTGTCTCAATATAATAAAAAATATGCACAAGACTTAAGCATAATATAAAAACTGAAAACTTTCAGATTTTTTTTGTTAATTTTTCGGATTTATTTTGTTTTGGTTTTATTTATTTATTTATTTATTGAATTCATTAATGTGTGTAATAATTTAGTCCATTTCAAGCTGTCCATCGTGCACTAATCGTCACAGTAGCGAATAAAATAGTAAATAATTTTATTAATTACGCGCATTATAATGACTATGTTATTTTTAGATCAGATAGTGGCCATCGGGACACCTTAAAAGAATCGGGACAGCTCATCAGACGAATGCGAAGGTTAATTAGAAATAATACACTGCCAGGGCATTTTTTTCCCTCTTTTCCTCAGGTGTTATCTTATTTCAAGTAGTTTTTCTTTGCAATTCGTCTAGTCACCATGCTTCTCAGTAGTCGCAGTTGAGTGCTTTCGACATCAGAAGTAGTTGAAGAAATCTCTTTCAGAAAGGAATACGCATGCTTCTGCAAATTAGACACATATTTAAGGTCTGGTGGACTTATACGTAAGCTTTGTATCGGATGAGGTAAAACCTCTTATTAGTATTTGGTTATAACATTTTCATGTCCATTCCAAAGCAAGACAGGCGGTTTTTCTGCAAGATGTTTGCAACCACTCTCAATAATATGCTACAATCACACTTTTTCCCCTTGGAGCTCTATCTTCTAAAATTGACTTCTTGGTAATCCTAGACAGTGATCATAATTTACTTCATCTATGATTGTGCATGTCAAAATTGTGGGTCGTGGAGAGGATGAAATTCGTCATTGAACAGATTGCAATTTAATCTCCGATCAAAAGTCATTATATAGTGTTTCGTCAGATTATTCAAAAGAGAAATCATTCCTCTTTATTATTAAATCTTCGTTTTAATAATCAAGTGCTAAGGATCCTTAGGGCGGAAGCCTTCTTCCCACAAAGCTTCCTTCAAATTAATGATGTTAGTGACATCAGATTTGCTTGAGATATTTTTCCTATGCAACTCGACGATCTTCTTCCTTTCTACTCAGTTACGAGTATCGGATTTCCTTTTTCTATTAATATGTTTGTTTTTCCAGGCCTTCGATCCCTTTATATGCTCTGACATATTTTTTACAAAAGCGAATAGCTCAAAGGAAGGCTGTACTACAATTTATTGCTTGACTATTATAAATTTTACAAAGTTCACTGTAAAATTCTATTGCTGTTTTGCTGCACAAATTTTCAATTTCGAAATATCATCTTTGATTTTCTACAATCATAGTTCTCCAGATACCTGCAGAATGCGTTTCAAATCCTCATTACTTCAACATAGTTTACTATATAGACTTCGGTTGGATACTTGTCTCTGTTTCAGATCTTCAGAAGGAATTTATAAATATATACAACTGGTTCCGCCGTCAAAAGTTATCGGAATTAACGAAACATTTTTATACGGCAGGTCGAAGTCTATCTCCAAAATTGATTGGAAAATTTGTGGTGGCGCGTTCAAATCTGAAACTCATTACCAGCGCCAGATAAACTTTACAAGAAGATATAGCATAACGTGTAAAAATTAGATAAGAAGAGGGAAAATGGAAATAAAATGAAAGTATATTCATAATGTGCAAAGTGCAGAATTGTTCGTTCTTCAACTAATGTATAGCATTATTAATATTTAATTATACTTGACAATTTTCTTCCCACTCTAGCCCACACTATAAATTTTTATGGAATCTTTAGTGATATTTCTTCTATACACTCGGAAGCTGAATAGATTTCAACATTATAGTAGCAATATGAGTATCCAATCTAGAACAAGGCCATGTACAGTATTTTGTATTAAATATCTCAGAGTATACCAGAAAACCCATCATTAGTAAAAGTTTCATTGCGATATCTATTTCAGTTAACCATCTGTAAGAAGTTTTGATAGGAATATTAGTCTGAATTTTCTTTTGCATAGCTATCATTCTATTTGTTCTACCTTTCTGTTACACCTAGTTCATTACACCTAGCTTCGGTTTTATTACCCTAATTTGAGTTTACATGATAAAATCAATATTGAGGAGAGGGCGAATTTCATTTCTATTGCATCCCTCAGGTTTTAGTATTGCTGCTTTGTGTAATATCTTTTAATGAACCAACATTAATTGGCATTAGGATGATGTATTTCAGATTTTGCAAAGAAGTATTACAATTATATATAATTTGTAATTTGCATTGGAAAAATCTCAATGTAAATGGAATTCTGAATTTCTTCGAATTTGAATCTGAATCTTGAAAGATTTCCAAATTTCGCGAATATGAGATTTCTCGAATCTTTCAAACAAAAAGAAAAAGAAAAAATTACTTAATGTTACAAGTTTTTAAATAAAGTAAAGTTAGAAATAATGAAAAATATACGAATGCATTTTTAAAAAATATAGTTATGTTTATAAAAAATATGCTAAAAAAATTTAGTAAATGAAATCCATGATTAAACTCTTCAATCTTGAAACTTATTTTTTTAATATAATTTCATTAACCTGTTTGAGTAGCAGCTCAAATTTCAATTAAAAGTTCAAAATTCATAAACCGAACCTGAATAGCTCAGCAGAAGTCAAGTTTATGTCGAAGCGTTGCTATACCAAGCAATTAATTTCTTAGAAACAGCCAGAAACTATTTGTAGTAGGTTATCTATGTCCAGAAATATCGAGACGATGCAAGAGTTGGTTTCAAGAATTTTTGAGAATGCGCAGTGTACCGATTACTTTAGTGAGAATTTGAAAGGTTTTTTTTTTTTTTTTTTTTTTTTTTTTTTTTTTTTTTTCCTGGATGCCATAATGAAAAATTCGGTACTCAGCGCCATCATAGGATAAATTTAGGTAATTAGACAAATGCTACTGAAATCTCAACCATCGCGCACATGTTTTAATGAAAAACTTTTATTTTCAAAAATCACTTACCTTTCTTTTTCTTCCTTCACTTTCTGTTATTTTTTTCAGTTAAAATGTTTAGTGATTTCTTATATTAGGATTCGAAAAATTCGAATGAAAAAAAAAGTGGTTAAGATTGGAGTTTTGGAAATTTAAACAATTTTTAAGATTCGCGAGATCTGAGAATTCGAATGTTTCATCTTTATTAAGAAAATAATATGTAAATGATAATCCAATTCGCATAATTATTTAGGGTAGGCATTGATTTTAGTATGCCGATTCTCGTGCGAATTTTACAGGAAAAAATAATAGTAAAAAAAATATCTTGATGTGGTAGATAGATGCATAATTTAGAAACTTGCAGACGTGGCCGAATTCATTTTGTTTCTTTTTTATTCATGATTGACATACATTGTTATTTAATCCAACAAAAATCAAATCAGCGCTAAAGTGCCTTGTTATTTAAAAATGTTTTACGTTGGATAAACTTGAAAAATACAGATTTTGAAGGCAGAAGCATGCTGCTACAGCAAAGCGGAAGAGAGCAAAAAGAGGAGAACTACAAAAGGTGACCAAAAGGAGAGCGAGATTGCTCATCAGAGACATTTTATACCAAGGCATGATTGCATTAAACAAATTACATTTTGGATCACATTATAAGACTGTTTACGTTAAGCGAGTTAAATTTCAGATACATAATAGTATCATTTGTTCTGATCATAATCTGATTCAAAAGGAACTCCATGGCGCAGATGCCTATCGTAAACTTAAAACTACGGCCAATATCCTGCAAAGACGTTTCACTGCAATTCATCGAAGACTTAAAATAACCACAAATATATTTGACAACAGATTCTCCAACCTATATGCATTGCCTAAGTTTCACAAAACTCCAAATTTCGATTTATAGTTAACGGGACCAGAAATTACATGAAGGAAACAGACCACCGTTTGGCTAAAATACTTTAAAAAGTTCTCTACATTATTAAATGCACAGATGCAAGACCACAATTTCAATTGGATAATAAATAATAACAAACTGATGCTAGAAGCGCCTAGCACTATAAAGATTAAAAATATTTTCTGATACGAATTTGAAAATTTATACAGGGCTCTTCCGTTACAAGAAGTCTTTGACAGTCTGTTAACTCTTCTAGATATATTTCCACGAATTATTATGGTTATTTCCAAAGAAGAATGGTAGCTATATTTAAAAAGTATTCTTTTTAATAACTACATTGCCTTTAATAATGCTTTTTTTTTAAACAAATCAACGGAATCCCGATGGGGACCAGCTTTAGTTCAGTTACTTGTAATTTGTACCTTTTCATCAAGGAATTTCATTTCCAACAACAATTATCTCAAGCACAACGCTCATATTACACTAACATCTATAGATAAAAGGATGATATTATTGTAATCAACAACTTCAATAAAATAGAATTCGATCACATTTATCTTTCATGTCTGAAGCTCAATAGAACTAACTTTCCACAAGGAGCTATTACTTACCTTGCGTTTAAAATTTTTGTATTTGTGTTGCATTGCGTTAGCATATCGTATGTGAGAATCGTCTGCCAGACTATCTGAGCAGTCGCAAAGCGTTACCATAGTTACCAGTTTTTTCTTTACCGTTGTTATTGTTAAAAATAAATTAAAATGTTTATTTGAAAGATATGAAGTTATGTTTTAATTGCTTATTCGGACCACATTTTTTATGTATTGGTGCATTGGCCGGGAATCGAACTCGGGCCACCCGCGTGGCAGGCGAGCATTCTACTCCCTGAACCACCGATGATAAAATTGATGCTGTTTTTCGTTAATCGTTGGAACACTCGTAAGTGGGGTAAGTAAACAAAACACGAGTAAAATTCAGCACAATTAAGTCGCACTGAAACGTAGTTTAGTTCGGAGGTTCAAGAGAGATCTGTCGTTGTACAAGCAATATCGAGAGGTTGTTGACAGTTACCTTAAAGAAGGAATAGTTGAAATATCTTCCGATTTGTTAAGGGATGAATTATCATTTTACTTACCCCCTCCATGCTGTTATTCGAGAAGACAAAGTCAGCAGCCGTCTGCGAATTGTATTTGATGGTGCAGCTCATGGAGAAGGAAAACTTTCACTAAATGACTGTCTCCCCACCGGTGCGAACTTGTATCCTAATTTGTTTGAACTGCTATTAAAATTTAGACAAAATTCTATAGCTTATACATCGGATATACAGCGAGCCTTCCTGCAAATTCAAATCGACCCAGAAGATCGTCGGTATATTAAATTTTTCTAGATTAATGATCTAAATTCAAGCGAACTTATTGTGCTGAATGAAACTGAAGTCGCACTGTTTCATAAAAAAGGAAAGGATCCATCTAAACCTGATTCTTATCTTCCGATCTGTTTGCTTTCCTCTTTTGGCAAGCTCTTCGAACGTGTTTCTCTCGGCATACTCCAATACTTCCTTCATAATAATGATATTCTGAAAAACAATCAGTATGGTTTCTTGAGTGGAAAATCTACAGAGCATGCTCTCGAAAGACTCCTCACAATCCTTAAAGAAAACAGGCAAGATAAACAACATTCTATCACAATTACCCTGGATATCAAGGGGGCCTTTGACTCCTTATGGTGGCCGGATATCATTGATGCTCTGGTTGCCATTGGATGTCCGATGGACCTTCTGGACTTGATTAAAAGCTACCTACAGGACCGCTCAGTACAATTAACTTCTGACTTTGGCATACCGGAACATGGACTATACAGGGGTTGTCCGCAGGGGTGTTGCTTGGAACCTATCCAATGGATCATAGTGGCAAATTCAATTCTTAGGCAGCTCAATAAAGAATTGGACTTCTCTGCAATAGCATATGCGGATGACGTTTTACTCATCTTCAAGGGGAAATCAAAACTTCAAAATATAGCTCAACATTACCTTGATATTTTCGATAACTGGGGACGACAACAAAAAATTATTATCTCTCCTTCTAAAACGCAGGGTATGATAATCGGGCAAAGGAACCACTGAAACGTATGCCATCTCTTAAAATACAAGGCTTCTCAATTAAATTTGTTGAAAACTTGAAATACTTAGGCTTAATTATAAACAATAGACTTTCCTGGCTCCCTCACCTTCGCAACCTCAAAAAGAAAGTGGATTCTCTTAACAACAATATGAAATGCACAGCAGCGGCTAAATGGGGCATTTCATCTCCTCTTTTGAAAATATGATACCAAACAGTCACTGAGAAAATAATACTCTACGGGGGCCAATTCCCTAACTAAGCAAGAGAAACAACTTCAAACTAATGCTGCTGTAGAGGTTGTACGGCATCAAAGAAACTTATTTAAAACAGTTCCGGATTCAAGATAACTTTATTATTGAAGAAAGCAATTCGGGATTCGCAATATTTGGTTCACATACGGACGAGCGTCTTATGCGCTCTTCATTTTTGTTACATCATCACATATTCCTTGAACAAAGAAGGTAGCCGCAAAGTGTCTGGCCAAGAGAAAAGCTTAAGCGACAGCGTCTTAACAGGATGCCAGAAGCCAGAAGAGACTGAGCGTAGCAGTAGTAATGCAGAGGAAGAAGAGGAAAAGCAAAAGTTTCAGTTTTGAGTTTTAGTTCACAATTAGGTGATTGGTCAAAAGAAATCTGTATTAAGGGTTACGTAAGATCGCATGATTAATTTGAATGACACAGTTTAGACTTAGATAGATGAAGTTCTCAAATGAAATAAAAAATAAAAGAGGTTATAGTGAATTAAATTTAGAAGTTTGCTTTCATATTTTTTATCTTACACACACATATATATATAAAGCAATTTTAAATATTTATATTTATATTCAAACGTTCATGGTAAAAAGTAAGCAAGAGCTTCTTAGAATTGTCAAAAAGAGCTCAAGCTAAAACGAGATATTTCAGATTACCTATTTACATTTACAAACTGTTCACATTTTTATGGTTCTAATTGTATATCATTAATTGTTGCATAAAATCCATGTGTACAAAATAATGATTTCTTACCTTCGAAACTGCTTGTTGTGTGAGATGATGAAATTTCTAAATACTGATGTCGGCAAATGGAAATCTGTTGTAACCTAAAGTAAAATTTTGCTGATTTGATTCATAATAGTTGGTAACGATTTGCTTGTCAGAAACTTGCTGTTGTATCTGCTTTAACATAGAGTAGAGCATTGGCCAGTTTATATATCCGGTTGTTTTTAAGAAAGCATTTTCGAGAGCTATTGCAATGGCATCTAATTTAGCTTCTTGATATATTTCATCATTTGTATTAAAATTAGGCATTAAAATATTGAGTTCTTTTTCCACGGCCTGCTGCAGCACTTCTAGATACTGGGACTGTTGTTTCTGATCCATCATGTCTCCTACTAGAGATTTCATAAATTCACCATCATCTCGTTGATCGCCCGAAAAAGTCATAAATGGATATATATTTGTTTTTATATCGAGGGTTTCAGTTGCGGGAATGAGATCAAAACTGTCATCATTTTGAATATTAAGAACATAACAACAGCTAGAAGTAATCCATTGAGTAAAAAACAGGGTTACAATTAGAAACATAATCAGTTGATTGAAATTCTATAGAACACTACGATGCTACTATTTTAGCAGTCTTTTGTGCTAATGGTGGAATTTGCAATTTATAAATGACCGTCTGTGTGAATAAAGCAGACACAGTAAGGTCTGAAACCAAAATTAATAAAGTTAGATGCGTCCGTGATACAGTCTTTAAGAAAAACCAGGTGCCATTGAAATTTTATCTCATTGCCCCATCGTTATAAAAATATGCCTTAGAAAAATTTCGCATTTTTGGTTAAGCTTATAAGATAGTCTGTCTGCTCAGAGAATAATACTTCGCTTCTTTATTGATTTATGAAAAGGTCACGGAATATTCTGCTTTGCTGAAGAAGGCTATCTGGATTATGGCATTCCACCTGCCATATCTGCAATCACTGTATACGCAGCTGACTATTCTAGGGAATTTTCTTCATTCTATATTACCATTTCTGCGTACAGTTAAAGAATTGTTTCTGTACAGGATAAATTCCATTTCAAATTTTGAATATAAAATTTAGGTCGCATTCACTTGTTAATCTGATTTTATTCGCAATGAAACAAGAACCGAGCAAGAACCTATAATTTCTCACAAGAATCGCTAATAAAGTATTACTGACTCTGAATTATGTAAAGTACTTCATGAAGTAAGACAATAATTCAGAATTTTTTCAATTATTAAACTTATTTAAACTAAAATATTTATTTCACCCTTTTGTATGTTTTATTTCCATGGTTTAAAATCATTATAAGTTACGTAAAATATAAACTTATATATGTTAAATAGGAAGTTGAGTTTTCCTAGAAGAAACTGGGGAAAAAAAAGAAGAGAGAGAGAAGCATATAAAGAATTCTTCATTCCAAGCTTTAATGAAAGCTTCAACCAAGGTACTCGTAATACAGAAAAGTCATTTAGCAATTTAATAATCAAATATATAATTTAAAAAATTTGAAAGCTTTCAGATTTTACATTACGCCCAAAGCGGCGTTTTTTTTAACGTTTTGTGTATTACCTTTATTTATTAAATATCATGTTCTTCGCACTTAAACCATAAAATTCAGTTCAATAGCAATATCGCAAAATAATTTTAAAATGAGCATATCTTTAAAATTACCGGAGATAAAATTTCGAGCGATGGAAATATGTTTTATTCCGTACAGTGATGCCATTGCTCGCTTTGAAATCCGTTGAGTTTTTTTAATCCAAAATTCGTTAAAGGTTTTACAAAATATGAAATAAGATAATAAAACAAAGTTCCAAATTTCCAAATTTGGGCTTCCTAGATGCTAATATTCGGGTGGAGGACGTACGTTATTCAAAACTGGATGGCTCTAGGTACCGTTGTTTTATCACAACGCTAGAAACATACGTATTTTTATGCAAACTCTTCATTATTTAATTTCTTTAAATATAATATAAGGCGATTATATCTGGTGGCAACAATTTGAAAAGTGAATTAACGTTTATAGTGAATCAACACAAAATGCCAAAACGAAATTAATAGACCTTCTGCTGGGCAAATTGGCCTTTGGAGTTAAAATGTAGAAGTAAAAGAAAAATCACTTTATGAGCAAATACAACAAAAACTAAAATATGATATTTAAAGTTTTGTTTTTTATTCTAATTTTATATTTTTAAAAACTAGAATTGTAAACTATGTAACCGTTTAATCATTTCAATATTGCAGGATGATTCAGAGGTTTCAGGAAATGACAGGGCTAGAACACGTTTTCCATTTGCCATTGAATAAAATGGGCAATGACTGAAACTCTTGCTTTAGACATTTCTTTTCAGAAGTTCAACTGGGAGGGGGAATCATGCGCAGTTACATTTTATAGAAAATATGATGCATCTATTAGCACTTCTGTTGCATTTTATTATTGTTCTACTTGGCAATCTAAGAATTTGTTGGTGTCAATAAGTTCCTTTTCTTTTTCTTTTAATGGATTACAATAATTATGATTCCATTTCTTTCGCATATATCAAATTTTTAGTAGTAAGTCATCGAGTATAGTCAACATCTTAAGCCGTGAACTTATTTTCGAATGATTCAGAAAAAATTCAGTTAGTTTAACTTTTAAGTTAACTAATTTAAGTTTTTAGTTAAAGTTAACTTGCTTTAGTTTTTAAGTGTCAGTTTTAGTTATAGTTAACTTTAGTTTTATGTTTGAGTTAGTTTAAGTAGGTTTTAGTTTTAAGAGGCATTTTGTATATTGGTAATAGGATGAGAGTTAACTCTTTGATCCTCTGATCCCTGCGCATAACAAGCAGACTTAATATTCTGATTTCAGTGAATGGACGAAGGCAACTAACTAAGAGAAGAAGGTAGTTCAGCGTTTATGCTAATGAAATTTGGTCGAAAAATGACATAACCTACATATTTTTTGGGAAGGGATAGGGAAAGGCAGTCATCTAATGATCAGTACGATTCGCATTTTCTTCTGATCTCAAACAGAAGCCATCCAAAAATTGCCTTCACGCGATATATTCTTTAGCAGCTCTTATCTGTAAATTAATGCCACCCAAACTGTATAGTGGTTAGGGATCGGGCCCGGGTTCCAATCCCGGAGAAGGTATGGAAGTTTGTAAATGTATAGTGTCTTTGCGCCGTGGGGACACTCTAAATATACGGCGGCTGTTGTGTAGTTTGCTGGTAAGGGATAGGGGGGAGAGCCTCAGACCCCCCAAGTGCTCTACCTCAAAATTGGGGTGGAAATAGAATTCTAACATCATTGAGGCTCTGACAAGCAGTCTTCCATGAAATATATGGACAACAACAACATATGTGAACTAATTATTTAAAAACTTATTTCGAGCAGTTCAGTTAAAAATGTCATAAATCGCCAGTGCTGGATGTGAACTTCAATGTCGCTTGTCATACTGCGTGTTCTTTTAATTGTCATCTTCACAGATATTATTACTAAATGTCCAGCTGCGGTAAGAGAGCTTCCCCGCAAAGCGGGTTTAGGGTTGCCAGATTTTGGCATGAAATCGACCATTTAGCGACAAAATCGGCGATGTGGCATAGACGGAGCGAGAACATTCTAGAACGAAATCTTACCGGTTTTCCTGATAATGTTCTCGAAGGCAGGTGAAAAGGTATTGTTGAGGTTTCCCATAGAGGGCGTTGTAGCACCCCTCAACTGTGTGAGAAAAGTTCGGATTTGAGCGAGAGTTGGCATGGGTTTTGAGAATGTAGTGTGAAGAACTGTGTAACGCGTATTTGCTATGTAACTGTACTATGTAAAATAATGGACATAATTAAATCTGTTTATTTAAAATGGGGAGCAATTTTGAAGGAATGTACTTCACAGCTATATATACCTTACCTGTACGCCGAGTAACAGACTGAGTAGAGTATGATGAGTTCAGTAGTAGTGTCTTGAGTTCAGAGATTAGTTCAAGAGGGATCGACGGATTCGAGAGCTGTACTTAAATGCTTTGCTGTGAAGCTGTCCTCATCGTTATAGCCTGATAGATTTAAAGCTGTGTTGCTGATTGTTTCAGCGTGTTATCGTAATTTTTCGACGACTTTAACGCGTCTTTTGAACTGTCCTGTGTAAATATTGACGAATAAATTGAGTTTGATTCTTCTTGAAGTGTTGTCATCAGTCACTCTAAATCCACGAACCTGTAGAACGAAACAATATGAATTACATTCTAAAACTAGACCAATTTACAGGCATTATGTCATCCTATAATAGCATTATATAAATAATAATAATAATGAGCAATTCATAAAAATTCAAGAATTGATTTTTTTAGAACTGTCAATTGCGAACATACTTGTCTTATGCAAAGTGCAATATTTTAGTTGAGGCGCGAGGGAAAAACTCTTTCACATATTTAACATTTTAGACTTCGCAAAATGTTCCAAATTCTATATTTTATCATCTGTGTAACTAAGAGATAGTAAGCATAGAAAATATGATAAAGATGTATAAATCACTCGTGACTGAGTCTAGGAAGATCTTTTTTACATTCTTCAGTAGCATCTCTATACAACAGAAGTATTTTATTTTTAATCCAGCGCTTAATTTTGCTTCGCCAAAACTGGAAAATACGAAGCATTTTGCGTCGTACGCCCATTAGTAGTAATTAATTAGCCAGAATATTTTATTAATAATTCCTATTGATTGCCTGAAAATTCTAAAGATTTTAATAGAATATGCGCAATTTGTTAAGCATTTAATTTTACGTTAATGATGAATGAGTTAATATATAAAGCATGTCCGACGCTGCCAATATTTTATTCCAGAAAATCTGTATGTATTGACTTTCTACAAGAATGAATTTTCTAAATTGATAGAAAATGTCTCTTAGTCATACGTTTCATTAAATAATGTTTTAGAAAGCAGCCTGGGGATATCGATTTACTACACCCTGCAAAATACAACCGACGCAATCGTCCCGCCTTAAACATTTGCATTAATGAGATATGCGCTAGGGGCTATCGAGACAGACAGTGCAAGTTTACGAAGATGTATCGAGCGATTAATCGATATAAAGGCGGGCAGGAATGGAGTCAGCAACTTAAAACTCTTTGCCGCATATCGGTCTGTCTCCGCGTTTTGTCTCGTTTGGAAGACAAAGTATTGATCGCAGAGCTTGCGCATTTGAAGACATTCAGATACATGTCCCTCATTTTTTACAGCTAAAGACTTGTCACTATACTTTTTTAATGGCGAATGAATTTAATGAGAACACGTTGTGTTTTAAGTCTTAAAAAATTAGTGCTAATAAAGTACAATCTCGATGATTTTGCTTCGCAATTTGAATTATTTTCCTATTTAATTTTAGAACAAGCTCGGATTAATTTTGACTTGAAACTCATTACTTCTTGATATACACAATTTAACCTAGACTGACTACTTTTTTTTTCATGAAATTGTTTAATTTTGTATTCATTATATTTGTGTAAATAACTAATGAATAACAATTTAGACTCCACAATGCAGATCATAAAAGCAATCTTTCATGTTTGCAGCTGATCTAGTTAGAAAGGATAAATAAAGACTTTGTATTCTCAAATCAATTATAAAATGAATTTTTAATATAATTGGGAATTTTAAAACATGATTATTCAGTCTCATTACCATCATTGAACCAAATAGATGATAAGAAAACGTTAGATAAATTTTTATCGTACAGTACATTACTCTTGCAGTAACTAAGGCAAAACTTTGCTATATTAGCAATCGGTATTATTTTTACTTTAAAAAGAAATTTTGTTGAATTTTCTGTCATTGTGGATGCCATAATTATTAATTAATTTTCTTT